CTTGAACTTGTAATATCTTTGTAGAGATAAGGTAACGGAGGAAGTATGCGAAATGTTAATCGCAGATTTGATCAAGAGTTATTCTATTCGATAGAGCTTTCCGAGCTGATTCTTCAGATATGAAGCGTTCTTTCTCATGGAACTCTTAACTAGACAAAATCAATCAATTCTACTCATGCAAGATCACATTCGAGACACTAAATACAGAAGTTTTACATGCATTAGTATGTGAGAGATGAAACGTCATTATCGACCTCCTTAATTTTTACTGTACATTGTTACCTAATAGACTAAAAACTGTCCAATGATGTCTTATTCTGTGTGTTACAATGTTGCTATCATTAGATATATATGCATCATCTACGTATTATGCTATGAAAAGCATCGATAACTCTGATTAAACATTACGATTTGAACGCTTCTTTATTGTTTATCGCTGTCGTTTATTCTATACTAGATTTCTCAGAGTAAAGCGTGCGGAAGAACAATCAGATCGATATTCGCATACTCAACCGTAACAATCTGTAACGCTTAAACTATACGTGTTTAAAGTAATGCTCTCTCAGAATGAATAATGTCTGGTATAGCACAATACGTAGATTATGCATGTATCTAATGATAGCAACATTATAACATACAGAATAAGACATCATTGGGCAGTTTTTAGTCTATCAAATAACGATATACAACAAAAATTAAAAGGGTCGATGATGAAGTTTCATCTCTCACATATTAATGCATGTAAAACTTCTGTGTTAAATGTCTCGAATGTGATCTTGCACGAATAGAACTAATTGATTGATCTTGTCTAATTAAAGGTTCCAAGAGCAAGAACGCTTTATACCGCACGAATCTGCGTTTAATACTTTGGATAGTTCCCTCGTAAGAGTACGTATTCGTTTGAAGGCATTCGTAGCTCTTTAGGATCTGTATAATGTACATAGTCTCGAGTCAATAGTGATTTATTAATTTAGAGACTTCCCTTATTAATGAAATATTTACAATCAAGATCTTAATATAAGTCATTGTCATATAGGAAAAGTATATAAATAGTTTTATTGCAAGAAAACTTTTCCATTGTTTTATTCGACTATTTTATAGTATTTATTTATTCATAACTAGTAGAAAATTATGAATCAAATATTTATGAAACACAAGAAAGATAAAGAATAAACTCACCTTTTTACATATAAAACAAAGACAAAAAAAATTAGTAAAATTTTTATTCGAACAATAATAAAAATTGACTAATATCGTTTTTTGATTTTATGAAATAATCATTTTGCAGTAATTATTAATAAAAGAAAAATAATTGTCATAGAACGATTAATTATTTCTCAAACTCGATAATATTTTTCTAGAAAGCAGTCATTTCGAAATATAAAAGCAATTATATATAATTTCACTCTGCAGTAAAATTATTGTAAACGAAATCCATATATTCGTTAAATATAATGATTCACTAACCATACCATTGGTTTTTTGATTGTACACTTTTTATTCAATAGCATTCGTATTTATGGCAGTATAATTGTGGACTATTAATTCGGTTGGAAGCACAGCATTTATGTAGTCCTTCACGATTTTTTTTTCTACAATGCAAAGTACTATATAGCAATCCTTCACGAGTTTTTTACTTTCTGAAGTCATCACTCGATCTAAAGATTAGAATGTCATACTATTTTCATTCAATTTGTGTTGCAAAGTTCTATATTCTTATATAATTGGTATGGGTGGGTTGGTGGCATCAATAGTCACGCGGCGGCGAACATTCTACAGCCACATCTACACCACCCATACACCTCAACAGATTATGAATCATGTCGATAATTAGTTGATTGATCGATACCGTTCATTAGAAATATGTCGATGCGCCTTTATGGAGTTCTCGTAGTGATGAATTTTGCTATGCCTGCCTTTCAATCACTTTTCTATTGCATTAATGCGATGCGAAGAACAGTAATTATGTACTCTTTCGTGAGTGTTCTTTTTTTATTCTGTTTTTTTTTATTGAGGTACGATGCACTTCATAGGAATCAGTCAAAATTTTTTTTCTTTTTCGAATTATGCATCGAGAGTCCATATTTTCTGATGCGATGATCTTGAAAACAGTAGATCATTTGAGGCTGGTTGAAATGTCATTAGAGAAATTTGAGATCTCTATATGGTACAAATTTTGTCCGATTTTCTGTATGATGTGATGTTCGCCCAAAGTAAAATCTGAATATTATAAATAGTCCATGAATTTTGCTTTAATTATGTCGATATAATAAGCGTTGACAGAGTTCTCGTAGTGGCGCGTTTTATCATGGCTGCATTTCCCTTTAGTCTTGACTTTGATCAGCTAATTAATGGAATCTGAACTTTCTTAATCTAAAACTACGGAAAATGTCTGATTCGAGTAAAACGTAAACATCTATAGGGAAAAAAATGTGATTCACGATAAATTGGAAGAATGATTATTCTTTTTTATGGGATATCGTAATTTCTCGCAAAATCGAGTTTCGGGCTACAGACCTCATTTCGTATTCGAGTCAAACTCGAGTACTATCTAGTCAAGTTTCTTTACGATTTCGATCAACTGATCGATCGAAGTATGAAGGTTTTGATTGTATTTTTGTAGAAAAGGCATTTTGCACCCAATGGTAAAAACGATTATAGCTTTTATCGGATATAGTATTCACGATGATGAATAGAAGCAGTTTTAGTTATTTCTATTAAGCTTTGTTTTGAAACGATTTTCTTCTATACGGCTGGTATGCTAATATTCTAGACAGATCGTTTCTTAATTTTTTTTCTCGGATTAATGATGTGAAAGGGTTCGATTTTCATTCGGATAGACGCTCTTACCTCTTTAATGATAACAGTAGCATGTTCATGCTTTTATCTCTTCTCAAGGGTATATAATCTAGGAAAAAGAGAAGTAGGTATCGTCGTGATGGCTGTTGCAGGTACATTCATAGGTTTTTTTAGCTGGTGAAACAAATTTTCTCGGTCTAGTTTAAAGAGATTTTTGTTCACGTATGATAGATATGACATTACTTCTTTATATTTATCTTTATTCCTATTAGATAACCATTTTGTACAGTGAACAACAAAACAAAAATATATGTACAATGAAACAAAGACTTACTTGACTTTATCTGTAAAACTTAACCGACATTTTGATATAGAACTAATGACCTCGGTATTTGACATCTAAATTTATGTGAGAATAAAGATTAATGCATTTAGTGGCTCGAATGACGCAATCTTTATGCTTTTCACATTTACCATGATTTGATAAATAATCAATAGCGTTTTTCAATGATCTATTAACAAATTGACTAAGGCACTAGTTTCTTCCTTTTCTTGAAATTAAAACACAATATCAGCAATAGACTCTTTATTCCGTGTCGGAATATGCCAGCCAAGAATATGTAGTTAGCAGTAAGTGTTAGCAGACTGATATAAATTTTTCCGTCTTGTTCGATTGTTGGGAAAATATAATTTAGTAATAGAATCCATGGTTTCGTTAACAGTTGATTTCATAATGAAAAACTCTTCGTAGCTAGTGGACTTAAAACATACAACACAATATTTTGATTAACAGACCATGAACAAAAAACAGCTGAAACTACTCTATCTCTATTATCTTCAGTTTTTTAGTTCGTTACAAAACATATATGTAATATATTTCTGTTCTTGATTCATTATTTTTGATCAATATTTGCTGAATAAATATTATGTTGACACGGTTATATGTGAATTATCAAGTAACTAACAATATGTTGGCGCAAATACGTAGTTTACATTAACTGCATGGCACCAATGTAGGTACAAAGGCAAACATTATAAACTGATAGTGCAATATCCTCTTACGAGAGGAGAATATCGATCTACTTAATCCTCACGATCCTCCTATGAATGTCCCTGAGTTGTTTTTAAAATAAGCGATTTTTTATCATAAAAAACATCAGATTTTCCATATGCATTTAATTTTAGTGGATCTCTCTATTGTTAAAAAATCCAAATGGCTGAAATATATCATTACGCATTAAATTGTTTCTGTTATCGCCATCAACAAACGTGTTTAGTAACATTTATGCTAAGTATACTTACTGTAGTATTTTTTACATTATCTCATATAGTTTTCACTAAAGCAACATTTCATTTAAATAATGGTCATTATGTTTATTCTCAAACATTACAATGTACAAATATCAATAAGACTCGAATTGAAGAAGGTCAAAAACATTTATCACAAAGTCGAGTTATTATATGTGGTTTAATACGTGATCGTGAATCACATATCAAACGTTTAAAACAACAATTAAATGAAATAATTAAATTCTTTGCAGATTATGCTATTGTTGTTGTTGAAAATGATTCAAAAGATGGTACAAGACGTGAATTATTAAATTGGGCAAAACATGATAAACATATACATGTTATTGGTTGTAATAATCAAATAAATTCCATATCACCATGTAATTTATCATTAGCTGCAACTAAAATTAGGTCTATTCCAAAAACATTACGTATTAAAAAAATGGTTCGACTTAGAAATATCTATATGGATTATATTGAAAAACATAGTTTATTAAAACAATTTGATTATGTTATTGTTGAAGATTTTGATTTAACAACTTATACATATTTAAATGGTTTATTTTCAACTGGTTTTTATTTGAAATATGATTCAACTATTGATGCTATTTGTTCAAATGGAATATTTTATAATAAATTATTTGGTAATATGATAACATATGAAACTTATTTTGATCCATATGCACATAAAGATAAACAAAATCAAAATTGGGGTAAGGCATATAATGATATATGGTCAACATTATTTCGAAAATATTCTTGTAATCAAGGTCTTATAAGTGTACAATCATGTTTTTCTGGTCGAACTATTTATAGATATAAAAGTATTGAAGGAAAACGTTATCGAACATATATTGATCAATATAAACAAGCTATTTGTGAACATGTTGGATTACATGAAACATTAAAAAATATTTATATTAATAGTGAAATGATTTTTTATGTTAAGGAAAATAATATTAAAAAATAGATATTGAATGGCTAAAATAGAAAAAAATTGACTATTAGTATTAATTAGTTCCTTGGTCGAATGAATAATGTTTCGAATAGATATGAATGATATTAGCTGAATTTTGTGATAGTTGAGTTCATCGAATCCTATTCAAATCTAGATCTAAGTCCACATTCGATTTGTATTATGTATTTAAACGGATTTCGTCTATTCATGTCCATTTGATTCAGGAAGCTACACAAAAATAAAAGTAAAGCTCTTCTTTATGATATTATTTGAACCTAATGACCGTCATAAAGTCTGTCAAATCCATTGTTGATCTAGATTAACAATTTCCATTGAAAATACGAATCTGAATTCATATTCAGTTCTCATAACGATATCTGACATGTGGACTAGACCTGAAAATGCTGAATGACAAAATTTCAGATCCGATTGGCTTAAGCATTTGATTGTCATCGATTTTTTTTCTATTCATAGATACAGTATAAACTCTCCGTAGTGAATATCGTTCGAAATTTTCGAAAGTATTCACTATAAGGAAGCTAGATTCTTTCTAATAATAATTTTTTACAAAGAACAGACACGCTATCTAGGTATCTAAACGATGTTAGTGAATAAAAGCACTTAACTGTTGCTCATTCTTACTAGTCTTTCCATGCATTTTTGTTCTCGAAAAATGACTACATGCTCAAATAAAAACTACTTATATATATATCAGTTTCAAAAATTCACTAATCGGTACAAGTATTGTTATTGAATTTAGGTCTTAACATAACTAAATGTGTAATCTTTGTTTGTTAGTCTAGAAAAAATGCTTTAACAAAGACCTTCCGATTGTTTCAACATAACTAGGTATGTATGAATTAGGCAATGTCTATTATAATTTCAATTTTCAGCGGCGTAACTCATCATTGAAGGTGGAACGATGCAGGATGGTTGAGTCTCAGAAAAAGAGACTGCGTGAGTAATGTTCAACAGTAAGTAGGTAGGCAGAAATTAGAATCTACATATTCTTTCTGCCGTCAATTTCATTTATATTCAGAAATTCTTGTGAATATAACTATTTTAGAATGAATTAAAAATGTATACATAACTTGATATAAATATTTAAACGAAAAAATATAATCGTATAATTTTGATCACTGATGTAACAATAAAATTTAGTTATATATCGTTCAAAACAAAGAAAAAACTTATTTCGCTTATGGTATTCTGCTTTTTTTTTTTATTGATAAGATTAATCGATTTACAAATTTAACAATGTAAAGCTTCAATTCATGTAATGGTTTCATTATAGAAAAAAAAGATCCGCGCAATATTTTTTCTCATTTCCATCAACACATACATCGAACATCTAATCAACATAGCTGTCTTTTTTTCCATTCATCAATCTGACATGATTTGCTATTAATCATCTATTTACATGCTTTGATATTTTTTCTCGTCATTATGATTATTATTGTTCTTCATTATGATAGATGGCACCAGTATGCAATGTTATTTCTTTAATAATTTGTTGTAAAATGAAAAACCTTATGATTTTTTGAAAATAAAGTCTTTTAATAATTTAATGATGTTTAAAAATAAAAAATAAAAATAAATATTCTGATTTTCTCATTGGAGTAGACATGATGCTTCTAATGTTTATTCATCCTTTTTTCCAGTCAATTAGCCTCATCTGTTATTGTCTTTTTTTTCGAGACAAAGCGAAAAGAAAAAGAAAAAAAAAAACGAATACATGTGTGAAGTAACATCATCAAACTTCTTTGAATTATTTCCATTAATTATTCAATTAATTGATAAATCATGTTTTCTTGCAATTGATACTGAATTTAGCTCAATAGATACATTTTCTTCGTCAATTAAATCTGTAAAACAATTTTATGAACAACGTTCAAATTTTGTAAAACAAATAACAATATTTCAATTTGGTCTTGCTATTTTTTCTAAAACATCTGATCAACAAAAATATGATGTTAATATTTATAATTTTTATCTTAATCCAACATCAATTCATCCAATTGATGTGAAATATTTAATTCAATCATCATCAATAAAATTTTTATCTGAATATAATTTTGATTTTAATAAATGTTTTTATTCAGGTATATCGTTTGTTAATCAAACACAAGAACAAATTTTATTAAATCAAAATAAAGTAAAAAGAAAAAGAAAAAAAGTATGTTATAATTTGATTGTTTTTTTATTTTTAGTCAATGTCAAATTATAGATTTTCAATTAGTGAACAAAATTTTTTAAGTTTTTTATTTGAAAAAATAAATGAATGGTTAATAACAGCACATATTGGTGATCAAATGCAATATGAATTACATAATAATAATAGAGAAATTTTAAATGATTATTTACTTCATTTTGAATTTCGTCGTTGTTTTAAAACAATTTGGACAATGACGAAAATAATTGACAATAAAAAAATACTTTTTATTGAACATATTACAAAAGAAACATATGAACAAAAGATAAAAGATAATATTGATAATAATCAAGGGTTTCAATTATTTATTCAATCATTAATTGGTTTTACTAATCTTATACGTTACATACGGGATAATTATCGAAAACCAATTGTAGGTTAGTTAACCATGAGAATAGTTGATGCATGTGCTGATTATGACATTGATATGGTTAAATTTGTAGGATTCTCACTAATTTTTACAAGTGGAAGAGCCTAAAACTTTAGCAAATAGTTTTCAGACGCAACATGAAAAGAAGATTAAACAGACAGCCATCCCACCTTGAAATCTATATATATTTGGAAGACGACATTTACTGTCGAGATAAAATGTGGGTCATAAATCACTCGTTGATCTTGAATGACATGAAAACTTGAGGTTTTTTTCGTAGTTATATTGTTATTGTAGCTGTGTCAAGCTGAAAATTATTGATCACTCATTATTAAAAAATATGAGTCCGTTTCAAGGTGATGATTTATGATTAGATATTCGGTAATGTGGTTATTGTCTGATTGAAATCAGATTTTGGGTATCTAGGGTCGTTAGTCTTCATTTTATTTTTATAATATGGAATCGTTGATTTCTATTGTTAAGGTCTTGTTAAAAAAGAAAGCTTAAGATTCCTGATTAGGATGAACAAAGTTTCCTTCCAAATGCTCGACTTTCTGCCAGTTTTTTAAAACTTCATAATAAGTTTGAAGAGCAACCGGATAGTGGAACATGTTTTGCCGTTGTGAGGTCAGTAGGAAAGCCATAACAAAAGGTGCAGGCTTGTATCTTTTATGAACAAATAGCTATTTAGAACCGATCGTAGGATATTTTTTGACTGGCTATTAGTTCTAACTAAGTTTTTAGCATGACGAGTCTACTTCTAGAGAAACTATTTTTTTGTGCATTCTTACTCTGAATGCGTCAAAAATGATGGAAGTTAAGAAAAAACGCTATATTTACATCTGCAATCAAGAAATTTTAATAAGCTATATAGCAAATACACTATGCTCATGGTAGTAGTTTCAGTGGTGTATTCAACCATAGTCTATTGAGCAATTGTTCACGGCTCAAAAAGTTATGGCCCAAGGGATTTTTTGAAAATAATGACAAGTGCCAATAGCTGCCCACCCTTCAAAACACTTTGACTGGTAAGTTGCCCAAAAACCAAATATTTCTGACTATACTACGGAGTAGTATATTTCAATATCGAAATAATCAGTTTATGTGAGTATATACCAAAAAAAGAGCAGTTTTTTTAAATGCATCGTTTTCCAACTCATCAAACTTAGGCAAGGAATAACGATAAGAAGTTGGATCTTTTTGCGAATTTGTAAATTATTGAAGATTCCATATAAGTTTCGAGAATCGTCTTCAGGCTATGGTTTATTGATTCAACTAGATAGTTTCTATGAATGAGTTAAAAATGACTCAACACAAGGTAACGAATTGAGAGAAACATATTAAGGCGATGTTATTATTGTCTTAGAGTTTTGATGTATATTTTTCAGTTGGATAAAGTTCAATTTCCAGAGTAAGAATTTTCGATTGAAATCAAATTCGAGTGAAAGTTAAGTTTTATCCACGATAAGACTTCTGTCGTTTCAACTTGTTCGTAGCAGAAAAGCTAAGTTTCGTCTAAAAACATTCGCTTCCAGTATCATTAACCTGTCTATCTATGCACTAATCAATACTTTGATTCGTTTTATCAAAGAACAAATATACATTCCTTTGTAACATAGATGGTTGAAATATGTCAAAATATGACTTATATTGTTTACGTCTTAGTAGATGTACTCTAAATATTTTGATTCTTCCTTAGATATGAATTATAAGTGAATCTCTTTCCACTAGAATCGAAGACGGTAGATTTTCCATTGGCTTTTGAAGCAATTCAATAGATTAATTTTCCTATGGTAGCGTCTAAAACCTCGATTTTTGAGTAAAATACAAGTTTTTATTAAAATTACTGTTTTTTTTTTCAGTAGAAAAATATTTTTCATTGAACAAAAACTTTTAGTGCAATCCCTACAGGATTAAAATATGAAACACGATATAGTTGCCGTTGCTAATCGCAAGAAGACTACTTTTATATCTATTTTGGAACAAATTTCTTCACCATCAATTTTAATTAAACCGTGGGAAATACAATAGGACATTAGTTCATCTACCATAACGAGAGGTTATTGGTAGACGGTCTTTAATCTCATACTAACAGCAGCTGTGTAACGTTTCTATGGGTGTGTCGATTACTGTCTGTGACATGTCATTGTTAGGATGTCTGCGATCAGCCATTTCCCACGTTGATCTCTAGGGGATCGGAATCTCTACCCCTATATATCAACACTCCTTTTGGATTGTGTTTGAAAAAATTAACCCCAAATAGACGACCATAATCTTTTATCAGTGACTTTATACACGCTTTCGAAATGTTCATAAAAGTTAAACTTCTTTACTCTGCTATTTTTGACTTTATCATTGAAGAAAAAAATAAAGAGTTTTGTCTTGACAGAAGTCTACAAAATGGTTAACTACTCTTTGAATCGAGACTTTGTAGATCCATATGAGCTATGAATATTCTAAAAAGAATTCGTGAACTTAACTTATTGCTCTGGAAATATTTCATGTTAATGATAATTTTTTAAGATAAATGTCGTAGTAACCCAAAAACTGATTTTCCAAATTTCGACTTGAAACTTTGCATTGAGAGACGCTTTAACAAGAATAATTTCAATTTTTTTTTTGATTTTCTTCTATCCTGAAACAAGTATTATCAAATCTGCCGATTTATAAAGACACGTTATTACCATAACTGTATATTTTTTGGATAGGAACAGATATTGAGATTTGATATATTCACAAATATAAACTTTTCTAGTATTCGTTCAGAGAATCGAGGCATTGATCTAAAAACTACTGGAAAAGTACATTATTTTCGCGACAATAAACTAAGGTCACAATCGTTTATTCTTGAGAGCACTCATATCTTATTTAGGTCCACATAATGCATAGTCTCGATTGAAAAGAAATTTCTCAGCTGGAAGGCTTTCCTCATGAGTGCGATTTTCTTATCAAAAATCACACGAGTCTTAATATGACATTAGAGACATGACATAAAACTTGTTTCCTGACAATTTCTTTGACTATTTAATTAAATAATAGTTTGAATAAATCTATTTCCGATCTTCTTTTGTTAAAACACTCATTAATTGAAATCAAATCAAAGTGATTACCTATGAAACACGAAAAAAACTTTAAATAATTAAGAATATGAAATTTATATAAACATATATATGTAGATATCAATAAAAGACTTATTTTATTGTTTAAGGACATAATTGTTTTCTTGATTGGTTAATTATTTATGATAAATTTCTTGATAATCTTCCATCAAAATTTGAAGAATATCAAATATTAATGAATAAAAATTTTTTATTATCAATATTTGATACAAAATATCTTGCATTAGAAATGAAAGAATATTTATTTACACGTCAAAATCGTTCAAATATAAGTAATTATATTGAAAATTTAACAACAGCAACATCACTTTCATCATTATATGATTTATTAACATCAAAATATTATGATAGTTTAATATTTTTTAAACCAATTATTGAAATAAATTCAAATAATCGATATAAGACTCAAGTTTGGGTAAAAATTTTCTTTTTTATATTTTTATTCTAATTTCATTTCTTTTTTTTCTTTAAGAAACATGAAGCTGGTTATGATGCATATATGTCTGGAGTTATATTTCTTAAATTAATTTATTTATATGAACAAAAAAAAATTCATAAAATTGATTTAAATGAATGTCAATCAATATTTGATACATGTTTAAATGATATACAAATATATAAAAATCGTTTTTATTCAACATTTATTTCATATATATCATTAAATCGATATGATAAAAATAAAAATTTCAATAAAAAATTACAACAATGTCTTGTTATTGAAAAATATAATAAAGATAAAATTGATATGTCAGATATAATATCACGTTTTAATTCATATTGTTCAATGGAATATGAAATAAATAATAATTTAAATAAAATTTATCTTTTATTTCAATCTGAACATTGTCAACGACAAATTCTTAAAGATTATACAAATCATCCATTATATAAAATTGAAAAATTTAATTGGTTTAAACATTCATTATTTGTTAAATATACATTTGGAATATCAATAGTAATGACTGGTATTTGTATTTTTTTTCTAGTCAAACGTCAAATGTGATATATACATATATATACATATATATACCATCGTTATATTTGATTAGTTTTGTTTTGATTCACTTCATTGGAAGAAAGATTATGTATGTATTTACATGGATCAGTGATTGAAGAATGATATTTTTCTATTTTTTCGAGCGTTGATATTTTTCGATGATAAAGATTCATTCCCTTTTTTTCTTTATCACTTACTATAATTGTCTATCCTATTATTGAAGTATTTAGAGAAAAAAAAATGTGAAAAATATATACATGAGCATAAAATGTTCTAACCTTATATGTTGATATATTAATTGTAGTTTAACGTTTCTTTTGTTTATTCTATTAGTAATACAAATGCTTTATTTTATAATTTGATCTATTTTCGAAGATTAATCAAAAATAGTAATAGATAAACTCTAGACAATCTTAAAGATAATTTCTAGTTATTCATATTTTCTTTTCTTGTTGTCGATTTATCTGTTGGCCCCTCGACAGGAAAAAAAAAGATCATGGATCATTTATAATCTGCTATTGATTTGTCGACTTATTCGTTGATGTATTTCTCTTAGTATCATGCGCATTTATAATGACATAGCTTCCCGATGTTAATGGTACTCGTGATACTACTTATAATGATGAAAAGAAAAAAAGATGTTTATGATTATCTGAACTTTTAATAATATTTGAGTAGTTCGATTTAATAAAAACAGACAATTTTATTTGTTATTAAAAAAAGATTAGTTATGAATATGATAACTTATTTTTAATTATGTCACATTGTATGTATATGTTCTAGTATTGAATTCGACTCGTTTTTCCTCTTGTTCCATCATTGTCATTTCTTCGTAATTGTCATCGTTGTTATATGTCGTTCTTCGGCTTTTTTTCTTTTCTTTTTCTTTGCTTCTTTTCTTTTCTTTTCTTTCTGGCTAGGGCGTTTTCACATTAGAGCAACAAGAGCTACTTCTTGTTCATCATCTACAGACGATGGATTTTCTTATTTTTTGTTCTTCATTTTTTCTCCGCCTTTCCTTCGTTTTCTCAATAATATAGACATATACAGCTGAATCTATTCTTCCTTTTTCTTTTGTTTTCTACTGATTTTAGTGAGTACAACAGCACAAAAAAATGAAGGATAATAGAATGAGAAGACGACAAAGGAGAAGAAAAAGAGAAAAATCTTAATCACATTTTTACTATCCGCTAACACCATCATCACACAGTATCCATTTTCTTCATCAATGTTGTTGATGTCTGTCTTTATAACATTGAAAACTGATCTTACATAGACAAATATAGAAGAAAGAATTATTTGTATACTGACGTAATTATAAAAGAAAGAAGTTTACTTCATTTTCGCTTCTAGTCGTTCATAGTACTCGTCCTCCATTGCCAATCAATCAATAATGGATAGTGTGAAATGGTAGCAACATGGGCCACGTTTTCTTCTTTCTCTTTTCTCTCGTTCTTCATCTACAGACTTTCTGTTGTACACGTATAAAAAACAGAAGTGAATTGTAATTGTTTCCCACTTGAGTGTCGTTTTGAGAATTGAGAGGAGGAGAAAAACGAAGAAAGCAGAATAAGATGAACTTCAGATTTCTTTTATTTTTGTGTATTGATCATTAACAGAATCAAAAAAAAAATGGATGAGTTGTCCAATATTGATTTCAGGATATTGTTTGTTCATTTATCATTTCTATTTCAGATAACTTTTTTTTTTCTGTTTCCTAATCATAATCATGATCGTCTGCAATTATATATCAACAGATATATTTTATTTGACGATGTAAGTCAATACTTAATTCTATAATTGAATTATTATTATTATTATTATTTTCTATTATTTAGGTAGCATAGATACATTGGTAATTTAATAGAAAATCTCTAGTTTTTTTTGTCCATTGATCCGTACATTTCTTTCACATGTATGCCGATATGATTTGTGATGTTATGCCACCAATACCTGAAGATGGTGGTGGCAATGGTACCAATCCGGAAGGTACTGGATCAGATAATGGTGAAGAAGCTGAAGCTAATATTGAACAGTTAATGGTATCAATGCTTGAAGAACGTGACAAAGTAATATTAGAATTTAAAAATAGTTATTTGAGTTAATATATAAATTCCTTTTTTTTGTTTTAAATAAAGCTACAAGAAAAATTACGTGAAACAGAAGAAACATTAAATACATCACAACAAAAACTAACTGAAGTTGAAAAAGAACGTGACATTTTATTGCGTCAATTATCACTTAATGCTCCACAGGTTTGTATTGATCATACAATTTGTTAATTGTTTTCATTTCTATAAGTTATAAAATCATCATCGAAACGAAAGAAACAAGAAAAAAACAAAAACTCAAGTCTATTGTATTCACAAATCACGTAAATCTTGATTGACATCAATCACATGTGCAAATCAATCAACGTAAAAGCTTAACAACTGTTAAAAAAACTGTCATTATTTGATGACAGATCGATAACTATGTACGAATCGTTTCCATGACAACTAAAAGAAGGCTATTTATATCATTTATGTCTTATCAAATCGAAATTTCATTTGACTTATTTGCTTATACTATATCTTTAGTCATAATCATGTTATCATTAATAGTTGTCTATTTATCTCAATTAATGATAAACGTTGATGTACTTGATGATAAGCAATTTTTTGCTTTTTATTTATTCGTAACATTTTTTTTCTAAAATCGTATATAAATATATATATATACACATACGTACCTGATATGATCAAAAAGTCGTTACTCAAGATAAAGGCCATGTTGTTTGTGATTAACACTTTTTTCTTTCTACCAATCATTCATATGTCAAAGAATGACCCTCGAAACACTATTTGAGATAGGAGATTGTTGCTCATGCATTAAGAGAATATGTGTATGATCACAAATTTCACAGTCATTGTCGTGATGATCAAACAATAGTGATTAGATCGTTCATTTTTTTTCTCTTGTTCTCTAACTCGTTTTCTCTCGTTCTCTATTCTATTCATCATCATTGATTGTTTGCTAGAATAATATACCGAATAGTTTGAATAGAAATCGACACACAAACGTAGAATCTGATGTAATTTAATATAGTATATGAAATATGATACTTTACGCGCGATTGATGATAAGATTAAAATAAAAATAAAAAGAAACTTTTTATTCAATATTCTCATTTACTAGTACCAAATAAACAAACAAACAAACAATTAGGCCAGCATCATGCCATATAAATGATTGTTATTTTATTTAGACAAACAAAATAAGATCTATGATCGATGTCATACCGACGATTGACATACCGTTTTCATCAATAGAAGCATATTAACAAAACAGTAGCCATAGTAATAATCAGGTTTTGTGCCAGGGTTACTAATGGACTAGATGTCATAGAATATATATAAGAAACTGTCTCATAGAAGTAGTGTGAAAATTTCAAAAGAATTTTCTCGTTTGCTCAATAATAATAAAGCATTTTCAATAATTAGAAGAGGGAGTCGACACACTTCCCACTTTGCCAGAGCTTCATAGTAATGCCAATGTGATGACAATAGTCATTTCAATAATAAACAAACCCATCTATTATTCTTTCCGACGCATGAGAGATGCATTTTTTTGTATGTGTATATGGCGTTTGCTTACTTATTACTCTTTTACTAGTTTCAATTGACGACAATACTAAGTGGCATCGGTTGCTTGCTTTCATCTCTAGACTATGGGTATGATATCGACCTTCGTTCTTATTCCCCGAGAGCAACATCAAATTCGTATGTGTATATATAAATATATAGGCATGTACTGTTAACAAACCAACCGTTTAATACAAGGTCATATGGATGATAAAGATTGATTATTGAAGACAATGCTATCATTTGGTTGCATGTAACCATAATGATTGAACCACTTTAGCAAACAATTCTTCTTGATAATAATTTTTACTTCTATTTATTCTTCTAAGTAGTAAAAGTAACCTGGAAGGAGAGAGAAAGAGGAAGAGAATAGATAAATAGAGAAGAGAAAACGATGGGGAAAGAGAGGGAGAGAGACGATCCGAGCGGAAAAAGAAGCGAGAATCGACAACGACGACAAATTCGTTGATTATTTAACTCTACCGACGAACGAGCACACACACATATACATACTTACATTCACGTATAAAATGTATGTTTGTGCAAACCTGTGAAGAACCAACGCGCACGCACACACATACACATATATATCTATATAAATAAAAAACTAATAAATAATGGTGAACATCGATTGTCAATCAAGTTCATTTCTCTTTGACGATCCATCGCATTATCTACGTAAAATGAGTTCTACTACCAATCTCTACGATTATTTAACAAATAATATCTCATTTAAAATGTTTTTAAATAATACTGAAAATGATAATAATAATAATCATGATGATGATGATCAATTAATGGCAATAAGTCCAACAACAATGACAAGTTCAGATAGCAGTGATAGTGCTATTGTCTCTGATGAAATAGATGATATTGATTTAATAAATGAAAATAAATCAATACATCATAATTCATGGCCTAAAACGATGAAAAAATCAAACGAATCAATATCGACAACATTTGCATCACTTTCACAAACATTTGATATTTTAAATCATCTTGAACAACAAACTATTTATGAAAATGTATCAAATAATAATCAACAAAAATATAAACGTCCTTTACCATGGTTAAATTCGACATTAACAAATCATCATTCGTCTTCTTCTTCATCTCCATCTTATACTTCCTCTCTTGAATTAACAACGAATAAGGTTTTTCAATTATTTATTTATTGAAAAAATAGCAACAATAATGAGAAATAATTTTTTGAAAAAAACAAATCTTTTTTTTTTCTTCTTAGGATTATGTTTCACTTGTTCGTGAACTTGCTCAATTACGTGAACAATTAACAGAAAAAGAAGATGAAGTTACCGAACTTAAAGCTGAACGTAATAATACACGAGTAAGTGAAAATAATTTTGTTGAAATAATATTAATTATGATTTTGTTTTTAGTTACTTCTGGAACATTTGGAACAACTTGTTGCTCGACATGAACGTTCAATACGAACAACAGTTATGCGTAGACAAGCACAAGGTGTTTCATCTGAAGTTGAAGTACTTAAAGCACTTAAATCTTTATTTGAACATCACAAAGCATTAGATGAAAAAGTATAAAAATATTCATGAAAAAGAAAAGAATTTGTTTAAAAAATTTTTTCTTTTTGTGTTACTAAAGGTTCGTGAACGTCTTAAAGTTGAAATTGAAAAAAATACGCAACTCAAAGATGAACTTGAACGAACAAAGAATGAGGTGTGTAGATATTTTTTTGTTATTATTTTACCATTTTAATAGAATATAAACAATTTAGACTATGTAACTGATAAGGAAACGACCTAAACTGTAATACATTCCGTTTGAGCTCGTATTGAATTTACAACGAAAAGATTAGAAAAATCCTAGAAGAGTTCGTCTGATGAACCTCTGAAGTTAAGTTATGACCGATTGACTGAATTTTCAATCTGAAGTTTTGCCCGTAGACAGATCCGATGACTTTAGAATCATGCTGAAAGTGTCAGTCGAAAAAGATATTCCTTCGTTGGGATATTGAATTTCAACAAAAAAAATGGTTGTTTGCAATAAAAATCGAGTATTATTTGAAAATTTAATGTCTCAATAAAGAAACATTTTTTTTTCTGCTGGGGTTTTTAAAGTATTTCCAGAGACATCAGATCTGTCCATAGACACGAACTCTTTTAGGATTGTTCTAGTCCTACTAAGACTTTCTCGTGAACAATTATGTTGTTCGACACTTATTCACAAGGAACATCAGTACCATCAACCATAGAATAACACTGGACAAATCACTAATAGCTATTTGTGTCAAATAGGATGCTTGTGATATACACTTGTTCCTATTTTTGATTAGAGTGTATTAGAGCTCAAGAATTCTGCGTCAGACTGACTTTCTATCCAGAACTACAATTAGTCATAGTTGTAGGAAAGACATTGAACTATTGAATGTACCACAAGGTTATTGAAAAGAAGACCTATTCTTCTTTAATTTAGTTATGACATGCAAGTAGTACTCAAACTATTCTTTCGTTTTGACATAGAAAACCTATTAACTGACAAAACTTGCGGAAGTAATTTTTTTTGCTTTAAAAATTAAGTATTTTCATCTAGATCGAAATTACATATATGAAATAATAATTTCAAGACATGAAAATATTAATTGTATTTTTGTTTGTTTGTTTGTTTTGTCTAGTTGGCTGGTGTTCGTGAAACACAACAAGCAAAAGTGATCGATGTCAATCAATTGAAAGTAAATAAATTCTAAAAAAAAAGAACAAACTTCTTTTCGTTTTAGAACTCATTATTTTGCTTTTTTTGCTTAGACAATGTCAAATGGTACGATTGATCCTGATTCTTTGACTGGTAAATTAATTGAAATGCAAGAATTAATGGATAATCAATGCAATGAATTAATATCTTGTCGTGCACGTGTACATGAATTAATGAATCGTAATAAAGAATTAGAAGAGCGTGCATGTTTATTGCAACGTGATATATCTCATTCCCATGAACAAATAAATAAATATCAACGTGATTTAAAAGAATCTCAAGCACAAAAAGAAGATCAAGAAGAACGAATATCAACATTAGAAAAACGTTATTTGAATATACAAAAAGAAACAACACATTTAACTGAATTTAATAGTCGATTAGAAAATGAACTAGCTACAAAAGAAACTCAACTTATGCATGTACGAATGAATTTTTTAATTCATCTTGTTCAAAATTTCAAAAAAAAAAGTCAATTTTTCTATTAATCAAAAACAATATTTTCATGAAAGCAGATTTTAGTCTATAGCAGAACTTTTACCTTTAACTAAACTTTCATAGCTTCAAGAAGCTAGAGCACGTTAGATATGAAAGTTTTCGTACTGGACGAACTCTAGTCGTCTGAGAAATGTATAGGGTGTACTAATCACTGAATGCAAAACAACAGAAAAAAGCATCTCGTATCTTTCGGATGACTATCCAGTTCTCATTAGAAAAATTAACTGAGACCTTCAAAGTACGGTTTGACCGAGTCCGCATGTCCAACAATTTCAATAAATTGGGTTTGGATCCAAAAATTTTGAATCCAACGTGTTCTATAAGGGCCCTAGCCGCCGTTTACGATACTCTTAAATAACAGCTCATGAGAGTTTCAGTGTAAATAGAGCTCGATGTGTAGAGCCACAGTTGTTATCGATTGAAAATTTCCAGTA